GTAAAAGAAATTGGACAATTCAAGTTCGTATGAGGTTTGTTCCCGTAAATAAAGTGGTTGGTGTATTGCACAGTTTTAGTGAAGGGATTTCTATAAAAACTCACAAAATGACTCCTCCCACCCTATTATGACGTTGCCCAAGTTTTGGGCTCAACCCGATATCTATTGGCCAAAGAAATTGGACAATTCAAATTCAAACGAAGTACATTCCATAAATGGAGTGGTTGTTGTAATGCATAGTTTTAGCGATTGGATTTCACTCAAAACTCACCAAATGACTCCTCCCAACATATTATGATGTTGCCCAAGTTTTGGGATCAATACGATAGCGATTGCTGAAGAAATTGGACAATTCAAGTTCGTAAGAAGTTCGTTCCGTAAATAGAGTGGTTGGTGTATTGCATAGTTTTAGCTTTTGGATTTCACTCAAAACTCAGCAAATCACTCCTCCCTCCGTGTTATGATGTTGCCCAAGTTTCGAGCACGATCTGAAATCATAGGTCAAAGAAATTGGACAATTCAAGTTCGTACGAAGTTCGATCCATAAATGGAGTGGTTGGTGTATGCATAGTTTTAGCGATTGGATTTCACTCAAAACACACCAAATGACTCCTCCCACCATATTATGATGTTCCCCAAGTTTTGGGCTCAATCCGATATCGATTGGTCCATGAAATTGGACGATTGAAGTTTCGTACGAAGTTCGTTCTGAATGGAGTGGTTGGTGTATTACATAGTTTTATCCAATGGATTTCACTCCAAACACACCAAATGACTCCTCCCACCATATTATGATGTTCCCCAAGTTTTGGGACTCAATCCGATATCGATTGGTCCGAAGAAATTGGACGATTCAGGTTCGTACGAAGTTCGTTCTGAAATGGAGTGGTTGGTGTATTGCATAGTTTTCCTATTGGATTTCACTCAAAACACCAAATGACTCCTCCCACCATATTATGATGTTCCCCAAGGTTTGGGCTCAATCCGATATCGATTGGTCCAAGAAATTGGACGATTCAGGTTCGTACGAAGTTCGTTCTGAAATGGAGTGGTTGGGTATTGCATAGTTTTAACAATTGGATTTCACTCAAAACACACCAAATGACTCCTCCCACCATATTATGATGTTCCCCAAGTTTTGGGCTCAATCCGATATCGATTGGTCCAGAAATTGGACGATTCAGGTTCGTACGAAGTTCGTTCTGAAATGGAGTGGTTGGTGTATTGCATAGTTTTATCAATTGGATTTCACTCAAAACACACCAAATGACTCCTCCCACCATATTATGATGTTCCCCAAGTTTTGGACTCAATCCGATATCGATTGGTCCGTGAAATTGGACGATTCAGGTTCGTACGAAGTTCGTTTTGAAATGGAGTGGTTGGTGTATTGCATAGTTTTAGCATTGGATTTCACTCAAAACACACCAATGACTCCTCCCACCATATTATGATGTTCCCAAGTTTTGGGCCCCAATCCGATATCGATTGGCCCAAGAAATTGGACAATTCAAGTTCGTTCGCAGTTCGTTCTGAAATGGAGTGGTTGGTATTGCATAGTTTTAGCCATTGGATTTCACTCAAAACACCAAATAACTCCTCCCACCATATGTGATGTTCCCAAGTTTTGGGCTCAATTTGATCTCAATTGAACCAAGAAATTGGACAATTCAAGTTTGTTTGCAGTTCGTTACTAAATGGAGTGGTTGGTGTATTGCATAGTTTTAGTGATTGGATTTCACTCCAAACTCACCGAATGACTCCTCCCACCATATTACAATGTTGCCCAAGTTTTGGCTCAATCCGATCGCGATTGTCCAAGAAATTGGACAATTCAAGTTCGTACGAAGTTCATTCCGTAAATGGAGTGGTTGCTGTATTGCATAGTTTTGGCGATTGGATTTCACTCAAAACTCACGAATGACTCCTCCCATGACATCATAATGTTACGCGAGTTTTGGGCTCAATCCGATTTCGATTGAACAAAGAAATTAGACAATTCATGTTCGTTCCGCAAATAGAGTGGTTGGTGTGTCGCATAGTTTTAGCAATTGGATTTCACATAGTTTTAGTGATTGGATTTCACTCAAAACTGACCAAATAACTACTCCCACCATATTGTGATGTTGCCAAGTTTTGGGCTCAATCGATATCGATTGACCAAGAAATTGGACAATTCAAGTTCGTTCCGTAAATAGAGTAGTTGGTGTATTGCATAGTTTTAGCGATTAGATTTCACTGAAAACATACCAATTCACTCCTCCCACCATAACATGACGTTGCCCCATGTTTTGGGCTCAATCCGATATCGATTGGTCCAAAGAAATTGGACAATTCAGGTTCGTACGAAGTTCGTTCCGTAAATGGAGTAGTTGGTGTATTGCATAGTTTTAGCAATTGGATTTCACTCAAAACTCACCAAATGGCTCCTCCCACCATATTATGTTGTGACCCAAGTTTTGGGCTCAATCCGATATCGATTGAACCAAGAAATTAGACAATTCAAGTTCGTAAGAAGTTCGTTCGTAAATGGAGTGGTTGGTGTATTGCATTGTTTTAGCCATTGGATTTCACTCAAAACTCACCAAATGACTCTTCCCACCACATTATAATGCTGCCCCAAGTTTTGGGCTCAATCCGATCTCGATTGAACCAAGAAATTGACAATTCAAGTTCGTGCTCGAGTTCGTTCTTAAACGAGTGGTTGGTGTGTTGCATAGTTTTAGCGATTGGATTTCACTCAAAACTCACCAAATGACTCCTCCCACCATATTATGATGTTCCCAAGTTTTGGACTCAATCCAATATCGATTGGCCCAAGAAATTGGACAATTCAAGTTCGTTCCCAAGTTCGTTCTAAATGGAGTGGTTGGTGTATTGCATAGTTTTAGCAATTGGATTTCACTAAAAACTCACCAAATGACTCCTCCCACCATATTATGATGTTCCCCAAGTTTGGGCTCAATCCGATATCGATTGACCAAGAAATTGGACAATTCAAGTTCGTACAAGTTCGTTCTGAAATGGAGTGGTTGGCGTATTGCATAGTTTTAGCATTGGATTTCACTCAAAACTCACCAAATGACTCCTCCCACCATATTATGTGTTGCCCCAAGTTTTGGCTCAATCCGATATCGATTGGTCCAAGAAATTGGACAATTCAGGTTCGTACGAAGTTCGTTCTGAAATGGAGTGGTTGGTGTATTGCATAGTTTTAGCATTGGATTTCACTCAAAACCACCAAATGACTCCTCCCACCATATTATGTTGCCCCAAGTTTTGGACTCAATCCGATATCGATTGGTCCAAGAAATTGGACAATTCAGGTTCGTACGAAGTTCGTTCTGTAATGGAGTGGTTGGTGTATTGCATAGTTTTAGCATTGGATTTCACTCAAAACACACCAAATGACTCCTCCCACCATATTATGATGTTCCCCAAGTTTTGGACTCAATCCGATATCGATTGGTCCGAAATTGGACGATTCAGGTTCGTACGAAGTTCGCTCTGAAATGGAGTGGTTGGTGTATTGCATAGTTTTATCCATTGGATTTCACTCAAAACACACCAAATGACTCCTCCCACCATATTATGATGTTCCCCAAGTTTTGGACTCAATCCGATATCGATTGGTCCAGAAATTGGGACGATTCAGGTTCGTACGAAGTTCGCTCTGAAATGGAGTGGTTGGTGTATTGCATAGTTTTATCCATTGGATTTCACTCAAAACACACCAAATGACTCCTCCCACCATATTATGATGTTCCCCAAGTTTTGGACTCAATCCGATATCGATTGGTCCCTGAAATTGGACGATTCAGGTTCGTACGAAGTTCGCTCTGAAATGGAGTGGTTGGTGTATTGCATAGTTTTATCCATTGGATTTCACTCAAAACACACCAAATGACTCCTCCCACCATATTATGATGTGCCCCAAGTTTTGGACTCAATCCGATATCGATTGGTCCGAAATTGGACGATTCAGGTTCGTACGAAGTTCGCTCTGAAATGGAGTGGTTGGTGTATTGCATAGTTTTATCCATTGGATTTCACTCAAAACACACCAAATGACTCCTCCCACCATATTATGATTGCCCCAAGTTTTGGACTCAATCCGATATCGATTGGTCCAGAAATTGGACGATTCAGGTTCGTACGAAGTTCGTTCTGAAATGGAGTGGTTGGTGTATTGCATAGTTTTAGCCATTGGATTTCACTCAAAACTCACCAAATGACTCCTCCCACAACATTATGATGTTTCCCCAAGTTTTGGGACTCAATCCGATATCGATTGGTCCATGAAATTGGACAATTCAGGTTCGTACGAAGTTCGTTCTGAAATGGAGTGGTTGGTGTATTGCATAGTTTTAGCCATTGGATTTCACTCAAAACCACCAAATGACTCCTCCCACCATATTATGTTGTTCCCCAAGTTTTGGGCTCAATCCGATATCGATTGGTCCAGAAATCGGACTATTCAGGTTCGTACAAGTTCGTTCTGAAATGGAGTGGTTGGTGTATTGCATAGTTTTAGAGCCATTGGATTTCACTCAAAACCAACCAAATGACTCCTCCCACCATATTATGTTGTTCCCCAAGTTTTGGACTCAATCCGATATCGATTGGTCCAGAAATCGGACTATTCAGGTTCGTACAAGTTCGTTCTGAAATGGAGTGGTTGGTGTATTGCATAGTTTTAGCCATTGGATTTCACTCAAAACCAACCAAATGACTCCTCCCACCATATTATGTTGTTCCCCAAGTTTTGGACTCAATCCGATATCGATTGGTCCAAGAAATCGGACTATTCAGGTTCGTAGAAGTTCGTTCTGAAATGGAGTGGTTGGTGTATTGCATAGTTTTAGCCATTGGATTTCACTCAAAACCCACCAAATGACTCCTCCCACCATATTATGTTGTTCCCCAAGTTTTGGACTCAATCCGATATCGATTGGTCCAAGAAATTGGACTATTCAGGTTCGTAGCAAGTTCGTTCTGAAATGGAGTGGTTGGTGTATTGCATAGTTTTAGCCATTGGATTTCACTCAAAACCACCAAATGACTCCTCCCACCATATTATGATGTTCCCCAAGTTTTGGACTCAATCCGATATCGATTGGTCCAAGAAATTGGACAATTCAGGTTCGTACGAAGTTCGTTCTGAAATGGAGTGGTTGGTGTATTGCATAGTTTTAGAGATTGGATTTCACTCAAAACCAACCAAATGACTCCTCCCACCATATTATGTTGTTCCCCAAGTTTTGGGACTCAATCCGATATCGATTGGTCCAGAAATCGGACTATTCAGGTTCGTACAAGTTCGTTCTGAAATGGAGTGGTTGGTGTATTGCATAGTTTTAGCCATTGGATTTCACTCAAAACCAACCAAATGACTCCTCCCACCATATTATGTTGTTCCCCAAGTTTTGGACTCAATCCGATATCGATTGGTCCATGAAATCGGACTATTCAGGTTCGTACAAGTTCGTTCTGAAATGGAGTGGTTGGTGTATTGCATAGTTTTAGCCATTGGATTTCACTCAAAACCAACCAAATGACTCCTCCCACCATATTATGTTGTTCCCCAAGTTTTGGACTCAATCCGATATCGATTGGTCCAAGAAATCGGACTATTCAGGTTCGTACAAGTTTCGTTCTGAAATGGAGTGGTTGGTGTATTGCATAGTTTTAGAGCCATTGGATTTCACTCAAAACCAACCAAATGACTCCTCCCACCATATTATGTTGTTCCCCAAGTTTTGGACTCAATCCGATATCGATTGGTCCATGAAATCGGACTATTCAGGTTCGTACAAGTTCGTTCTGAAATGGAGTGGTTGGTGTATTGCATAGTTTTAGCCATTGGATTTCACTCAAAACCAACCAAATGACTCCTCCCACCATATTATGTTGTTCCCCAAGTTTTGGACTCAATCCGATATCGATTGGTCCAGAAATTGGACTATTCAGGTTCGTACGAAGTTCGTTCTGAAATGGAGTGGTTGGTGTATTGCATAGTTTTAGAGATTGGATTTCACTCAAAACCACCAAATGACTCCTCCCACCATATTATGTTGTTCCCCAAGTTTTGGGACTCAATCCGATATCGATTGGTCCAGAAATTGGACTATTCAGGTTCGTACGAAGTTCGTTCTGAAATGGAGTGGTTGGTGTATTGCATAGTTTTAGAATTGGATTTCACTCAAAACCACCAAATGACTCCTCCCACCATATTATGTTGTTCCCCAAGTTTTGGGACTCAATCCGATATCGATTGGTCCAAGAAATTGGACTATTCAGGTTCGTACGAAGTTCGTTTCTGAAATGGAGTGGTTGGTGTATTGCATAGTTTTAGCCATTGGATTTCACTCAAAACCACCAAATGACTCCTCCCACCATATTATGTTGCCCCAAGTTTTGGACTCAATCCGATATCGATTGGTCCATGAAATTGGACTATTCAGGTTCGTAGGAAGTTCGTTCTGAAATGGAGTGGTTGGTGTATTGCATAGTTTTAGCCATTGGATTTCACTCAAAACCAACCAAATGACTCCTCCCACCATATTATGTTGTTCCCCAAGTTTTGGACTCAATCCGATATCGATTGGTCCATGAAATTGGACTATTCAGGTTCGTAGGAAGTTCGTTCTGAAATGGAGTGGTTGGTGTATTGCACAGTTTTAGCCATTGGATTTCACTCAAAACCAACCAAATGACTCCTCCCACCATATTATGTTGTTCCCCAAGTTTTGGACTCAATCCGATATCGATTGGTCCATGAAATCGGACTATTCAGGTTCGTAGGAAGTTCGTTCTGAAATGGAGTGGTTGGTGTATTGCATAGTTTTAGCCATTGGATTTCACTCAAAACCACCAAATGACTCCTCCCACCATATTATGTTGTTCCCCAAGTTTTGGACTCAATCCGATATCGATTGGTCCATGAAATTGGACAATTCAGGTTCGTACGAAGTTCGTTCTGAAATGGAGTGGTTGGTGTATTGCATAGTTTTAGAGATTGGATTTCACTCAAAACCACCAAATGACTCCTCCCACCATATTATGATGTTGCCCCAAGTTTTGGACTCAATCCGATATCGATTGGTCCAAGAAATTGGACAATTCAGGTTCGTACGAAGTTCGTTCTGAAATGGAGTGGTTGGTGTATTGCATAGTTTTAGCCATTGGATTTCACTCAAAACCCACCAAATGACTCCTCCCACCATATTATGATGTTCCCCAAGTTTTGGACTCAATCCGATATCGATTGGTCCATGAAATTGGACAATTCAGGTTCGTACGAAGTTCGTTCTGAAATGGAGTGGTTGGTGTATTGCATAGTTTTAGAGATTGGATTTCACTCAAAACTCACCAAATGACTCCTCCCACCATATTATGATGTTCCCCAAGTTTTGGGACTCAATCCGATATCGATTGGTCCATGAAATTGGACATTCAGGTTCGTACGAAGTTCGTTCTGAAATGGAGTGGTTGGTGTATTGCATAGTTTTATCATTGGATTTCACTCAAAACACACCAAATGACTCCTCCCACCATATATGATGTTCCCCAAGTTTTGGACTCAATCCGATATCGATTGGTCCATGAAATTGGACAATTCAGGTTCGTACGAAGTTCGTTCTGAAATGGAGTGGTTGGTGTATTGCATAGTTTTAGCCATTGGATTTCACTCAAAACCACCAAATGACTCCTCCCACCATATTATGATGTTCCCCAAGTTTTGGACTCAATCCGATATCGATTGGTCCATGAAATTGGACAATTCAGGTTCGTACGAAGTTCGTTCTGAAATGGAGTGGTTGGTGTATTGCATAGTTTTAGCCATTGGATTTCACTCAAAACCACCAAATGACTCCTCCCACCATATTATGATGTTCCCCAAGTTTTGGACTCAATCCGATATCGATTGGTCCATGAAATTGGACTATTCAGGTTCGTACGAAGTTCGTTCTGAAATGGAGTGGTTGGTGTATTGCATAGTTTTAGCCATTGGATTTCACTCAAAACCACCAAATGACTCCTCCCACCACATTATGATGTTCCCCAAGTTTTGGACTCAATCCAATATCGATTGGTCCATGAAATTGGACAATTCAGGTTCGTACGAAGTTCGTTCTGAAATGGAGTGGTTGGTGTATTGCATAGTTTTAGCCATTGGATTTCACTCAAAACCACCAAATGACTCCTCCCACCACATTATGATGTTCCCCAAGTTTTGGACTCAATCCGATATCGATTGGTCCAAGAAATCGGACTATTCAGGTTCGTACGAAGTTCGTTCTGAAATGGAGTGGTTGGTGTATTGCATAGTTTTAGCCATTGGATTTCACTCAAAACCACCAAATGACTCCTCCCACCATATTATGATGTTCCCCAAGTTTTGGACTCAATCCGATATCGATTGGTCCATGAAATTGGACAATTCAGGTTTCGTACGAAGTTCGTTCTGAAATGGAGTGGTTGGTGTATTGCATAGTTTTAGCAATTGGATTTCACTCAAAACCACCAAATGACTCCTCCCCACATATGATGTTCCCCAAGTTTTGGACTCAATCCGATATCGATTGGTCCATGAAATTGGACAATTCAGGTTCGTACGAAGTTCGTTCTGAAATGGAGTGGTTGGTGTATTGCATAGTTTTAGAGATTGGATTTCACTCAAAACACACCAAATGACTCCTCCCACCATATTATGATGTTCCCCAAGTTTTGGGACTCAATCCGATATCGATTGGTCCATGAAATTGGACAATTCAGGTTCGTACGAAGTTCGTTCTGAAATGGAGTGGTTGGTGTATTGCATAGTTTTAGCAATTGGATTTCACTCAAAACCACCAAATGACTCCTCCCACCACATTATGATGTTCCCCAAGTTTTGGGCTCAATCCGATATCGATTGGTCCATGAAATTGGACAATTCAGGTTCGTACAAGTTTTGTTATGAATGGAGTGGTTGGTGTATTGCATAGTTTTAGCAATTGGATTTCACTCAAAACACACCAAATGACTCCCCCACCATATGTGTTCCCCAAGTTTTGGACTCAATCCGATCGATTGGTCCAAGAAATTGGACGATTCAGGTTCGTACGAAGTTCGTTCTGAAATGGAGTGGTTGGTGTATTGCATATTTTAGCCATTGGATTTCACTCAAAACACACCAAATGACTCCTCCCACCATATTGATGTTCCCCAAGTTTTGGGACTCAATCCGATATCGATTGGTCCATGAAATTGGACAATTCAGGTTCGTACGAAGTTTCGTTCTGAAATGGAGTGGTTGGTGTATTGCATAGTTTTAGCAATTGGATTTCACTCAAAACACACCAAATGACTCCTCCCACCACATTATGATGTGCCCCAAGTTTTGGACTCAATCCGATATCGATTGGTCCATGAAATTGGAAATTCAGGTTCGTACGAAGTTCGTTCTGAAATGGAGTGGTTGGTGTATTGCATAGTTTTAGCCATTGGATTTCACTCAAAACAACCAAATGACTCCTCCCACCATATTATGATGTTGCCCCAAGTTTTGGACTCAATCCGATATCGATTGGTCCAAGAATTTGGACAATTCAGGTTCGTACGAAAGTTCGTTCTGAAATGGAGTGGTTGGTGTATTTGCATAGTTTTAGTGATTGGATTTCACTCAAAACACACCAAATGACTCCTCCCACCATATTATGTTCTTCCCCAAGTTTTGGGACTCAATCCAATATCGATTGGTTCAAGAAATTGGACAATTCAGGTTCGTACGAAGTTTTTGTTATGTAAATGGAGTGGTTGGTGTATTGCATAGTTTGAGCTATTGGATTTCACTCAAAACCACTATTATGATGTTCCCCAAGTTTTGGGCTCAATCCGATATCGATTGGTCCAAAAATTGGACAATTCAGGTTCAAACAAAGTTCGCTCTATGAATGGAGTGGTTGGTGTATTGCATAGTTTTAGCCATGGATTTCACTCAAAACACACCAAATGACTCCTCCCAACATATTATGATGTTCCCCAAGTTTCGGGACTCAATCCGATATCGATTGGTCCAAGAAATTGGACAATTCAGGTTCGTACGAAAGTTTGTTCTGAAATGGAGTGGTTGGTGTATTGCATAGTTTTAGCATTGGATTTCACTCAAAACTCACCAAATGACTCCTCCCACACATTATGATGTTGCCCCAAGTTTTGGACTCAATCCGATATCGATTGGTCCATGAAATTGGACAATTCAGGTTCGTACGAAGTTCGTTCTGAAATGGAGTGGTTGGTGTATTGCATTGTTTTAGACATTGGATTTCACTCAAAACTCACCAAATGACTCCTCCCACCATATTATGATGTTGCCCAAGTTTTGGGCTCAATCTATATCGATTGGTCCAGAAATTGGACAATTCAGGTTCGTACGAAGTTCGTTCTGAAATGGAGTGGTTGGTGTATTGCATAGTTTTAGAGATTGGATTTCACTCAAACCACCAAATGACTCCTCCCACCATATTATGATGTTCCCCAAGTTTTGGACTCAATCCGATATCGATTGGTCCAGAAATTGGACAATTCAGGTTCGTACGAGTTTCGTTCTGAAATGGAGTGGTTGGTGTATTGCATAGTTTAAGCATTTGGATTTCACTCAAAACCACCAAATGACTCCTCCCACCATATTATGATGTTCCCCAAGTTTTGGGACTCAATCCATATCGATTGGTCCAAGAAATCGGACAATTCAGGTTCGTACAAGTTCGTTATGAAATGGAGTGGTTGGTGTATTGCATAGTTTTAGCCATTGGATTTCACTCAAAACCACCAAATGACTCCTCCCACCATATTATGATGTTGCCCCAAGTTTTGGGACTCAATCCGATATCGATTGGTCCAAGAAATTGGACAATTCAGGTTCGTACGAAGTTCGTTCAGAAATGGGAGTGGTTGGTGTATTGCATAGTTTTAGCAATTGGATTTCACTCAAAACCACCAAATGACTCCTCCCACCATATTATGATGTTCCCCAAGTTTTGGACTCAATCCGATATCGATTGGTCCATGAAATTGGACAATTCAGGTTCGTACGAAGTTCGTTCTGAAATGGAGTGGTTGGTGTATTGCATAGTTTTAGCCATTGGATTTCACTCAAAACCACCAAATGACTCCTCCCACCATATTATGATGTTGCCCCAAGTTTTGGGACTCAATCCGATCGATTGGTCCAGAAATTGGACGATTCAGGTTCGTACGAAGTTCGTTCTGAAATGGAGTGGTTGGTGTATTGCATAGTTTTAGCCATTGGATTTCACTCAAAACCACCAAATGACTCCTCCCACCATATTATGTGTTGCCCAAGTTTTGGGCTCAATCCGATATCGATTGGTCCAAGAAATTGGACAATTCAGGTTCGTACGAAGTTCGTTCTGAAATGGAGTGGTTGGTGTATTGCATAGTTTTAGCCATTGGATTTCACTCAAAACCACCAAATGACTCCTCCCACCATATTATGATGTTCCCCAAGTTTTGGACTCAATCCGATATCGATTGGTCCATGAAATTGGACAATTCAGGTTCGTACGAAGTTCGTTCTGAAATGGAGTGGTTGGTGTATTGCATAGTTTTAGCATTGGATTTCACTCAAAACCACCAAATGACTCCTCCCACCATATTATGATGTTCCCCAAGTTTTGGACTCAATCCGATATCGATTGGTCCAAGAAATTGGACAATTCAGGTTCGTACGAAGTTCGTTCTGAAATGGAGTGGTTGGTGTATTGCATAGTTTTAGCCATTGGATTTCACTCAAAACCACCAAATGACTCCTCCCACCATATTATGTTGTTCCCCAAGTTTTGGACTCAATCCGATATCGATTGGTCCAAGAAATCGGACAATTCAGGTTCGTAGAAGTTCGTTCTGAAATGGAGTGGTTGGTGTATTGCATAGTTTTAGCAATTGGATTTCACTCAAAACCACCAAATGACTCCTCCCACCATATTAGGTGTTGCCCCAAGTTTTGGACTCAATCCGATATCGATTGGTCCAAGAAATCGGACTATTCAGGTTCGTAGAAGTTCGTTCTGAAATGGAGTGGTTGGTGTATTGCATAGTTTTAGCCATTGGATTTCACTCAAAACCACCAAATGACTCCTCCCACCATATTATGTTGTTCCCCAAGTTTTGGACTCAATCCGATATCGATTGGTCCATGAAATCGGACTATTCAGGTTCGTAGAAGTTCGTTCTGAAATGGAGTGGTTGGTGTATTGCATAGTTTTAGAGATTGGATTTCACTCAAAACCACCAAATGACTCCTCCCACCATATTATGTTGTTCCCCAAGTTTTGGACTCAATCCGATATCGATTGGTCCATGAAATCGGACTATTCAGGTTCGTAGCAAGTTCGTTCTGAAATGGAGTGGTTGGTGTATTGCATAGTTTTAGAGATTGGATTTCACTCAAAACCACCAAATGACTCCTCCACCATATTATGTTGTTCCCCAAGTTTTGGACTCAATCCGATATCGATTGGTCCATGAAATCGGACAATTCAGGTTCGTAGAAGTTCGTTCTGAAATGGAGTGGTTGGTGTATTGCATAGTTTTAGAGATTGGATTTCACTCAAAACCACCAAATGACTCCTCCCACCATATTATGTTGTTCCCCAAGTTTTGGACTCAATCCGATATCGATTGGTCCATGAAATCGGACAATTCAGGTTCGTAGCAAGTTCGTTCTGAAATGGAGTGGTTGGTGTATTGCATAGTTTTAGCCATTGGATTTCACTCAAAACCAACCAAATGACTCCTCCCACCATATTATGTTGTTCCCCAAGTTTTGGACTCAATCCGATATCGATTGGTCCATGAAATCGGACTATTCAGGTTCGTAGAAGTTCGTTCTGAAATGGAGTGGTTGGTGTATTGCATAGTTTTAGAGATTGGATTTCACTCCAAACCAACCAAATGACTCCTCCCACCATATTATGTTGTTCCCCAAGTTTTGGACTCAATCCGATATCGATTGGTCCAAGAAATCGGACAATTCAGGTTCGTAGCAAGTTCGTTCTGAAATGGAGTGGTTGGTGTATTGCATAGTTTTAGCCATTGGATTTCACTCAAAACCAACCAAATGACTCCTCCCACCATATTATGTTGTTCCCCAAGTTTTGGACTCAATCCGATATCGATTGGTCCATGAAATCGGACAATTCAGGTTCGTACGAAGTTCGTTCTGAAATGGAGTGGTTGGTGTATTGCATAGTTTTAGCCATTGGATTTCACTCAAAACCAACCAAATGACTCCTCCCACCATATTATGTTGTTCCCCAAGTTTTGGACTCAATCCGATATCGATTGGTCCAAGAAATCGGACAATTCAGGTTCGTAGCAAGTTCGTTCTGAAATGGAGTGGTTGGTGTATTGCATAGTTTTAGCCATTGGATTTCACTCAAAACCAACCAAATGACTCCTCCCACCATATTATGTTGTTCCCCAAGTTTTGGACTCAATCCGATATCGATTGGTCCATGAAATCGGACTATTCAGGTTCGTACAAGTTCGTTCTGAAATGGAGTGGTTTGGTGTATTTGCCATAGTTTAATAAGCCATTGGAATTTCACTCAAAACCACCAAATGACTCCTCCCACCATATTATGTTGTTCCCCAAGTTTTGGACTCAATCCGATATCGATTGGTCCATGAAATCGGACAATTCAGGTTCGTACGAAGTTCGTTTCTGAAATGGAGTGGTTGGTGTATTGCATAGTTTTAGCCATTGGATTTCACTCAAAACCACCAAATGACTCCTCCCACCATATTATGTGTTCCCCAAGTTTTGGACTCAATCCGATATCGATTGGTCCATGAAATCGGACAATTCAGGTTCGTACGAAGTTCGTTCTGAAATGGAGTGGTTGGTGTATTGCATAGTTTTAGCATTGGATTTCACTCAAACCCACCAAATGACTCCTCCCACCATATTATGATGTTCCCCAAGTTTTGGACTCAATCCGATATCGATTGGTCCATGAAATCGGACAATTCAGGTTCGTACGAAGTTCGTTCTGAAATGGAGTGGTTGGTGTATTGCATAGTTTTAGCCATTGGATTTCACTCAAAACCAACCAAATGACTCCTCCCACCATATTATGTTGTTCCCCAAGTTTTGGACTCAATCCGATATCGATTGGTCCATGAAATCGGACAATTCAGGTTCGTACGAAGTTCGTTCTGAAATGGAGTGGTTGGTGTATTGCATAGTTTTAGCCATTGGATTTCACTCAAAACCAACCAAATGACTCCTCCCACCATATTATGTTGTTCCCCAAGTTTTGGACTCAATCCGATATCGATTGGTCCATGAAATCGGACTATTCAGGTTCGTAGGAAGATCGTTCGAAATGGAGTGGTTGGTGTATTGCTAGTTTTAGCATCTGATTTCACTCAAAACCAACCAAATGACTCCCCCCACCTTTATGTTGTTCCCCAGTTTTGGGACTCAATCCGATATCGATTGGTCCATGAAATAGGACTATTCAGGTTCGTAGGAAGTTCGTTCTGAAATGGAGTGGTTGGTGTATTGCATAGTTTTAGCCATTGGATTTCACTCAAAACCAACCAAATGACTCCTCCCACCATATTATGTTGTTCCCCAAGTTTTGGACTCAATCCGATATCGATTGGTCCATGAAATCGGACTATTCAGGTTCGTAGGAAGTTCGTTCTGAAATGGAGTGGTTGGTGTATTGCATAGTTTTAGCCATTGGATTTCACTCAAAACCAACCAAATGACTCCTCCCACCATATTATGTTGTTCCCCAAGTTTTGGACTCAATCCGATATCGATTGGTCCATGAAATTGGACAATTCAGGTTCGTAGGAAGTTCGTTCTGAAATGGAGTGTTTGGTGTATTGCCTAGTTTTAGCCATTGGATTTCACTCAAAACCACCAAATGACTCCTCCCACCATATTATGATGTTCCCCAAGTTTTGGACTCAATCCGATATCGATTGGTCCATGAAATCGGACTATTCAGGTTCGTACGAAGTTCGTTCTGAAATGGAGTGGTTGGTGTATTGCATAGTTTTAGCCATTGGATTTCACTCAAAACCACCAAATGACTCCTCCCACCATATTATGATGTTCCCCAAGTTTTGGACTCAATCCGATATCGATTGGTCCATGAAATTGGGACATTCAGGTTCGTACGAAGTTCGTTCTGAAATGGAGTGGTTGGTGTATTGCATAGTTTTAGCCATTGGATTTCACTCAAACCAACCAAATGACTCCTCCCACCATATTATGATGTTCCCCAAGTTTTGGACACAATCCGATATCGATTGGTCCTTGAAATCGGATAATTCAGGTACGTAGTTTGTTCTAAAATGGAGTTGTTGGTGTATCCCTACTACGAAAAAGTAATAGACAACGGGTTGGCTGTTGTTGAAAGTCTTGTAAAACTGTTGATGTTAGTAGTGTCGTCTTTTCTACATATTTATGACAATGGTCAGAAACTGTTTAATATGTCACTTTCAACAACGGTTTTGAAGGAAACTGTGTTAATCTCATATATAAAAAATAGTAAATTGGCTTACACCCTTCAAATTCAATTTGCCGTACCTAAAACCCTTCACTTTTTGTTCCTATAAATAACACCCAATTTGTATAAGTAAAAACCCATGACTAGGATTCAACTCAGCAAGTTACCTAATTAAGCATAAAATCTGATTTATTGTACTTTTTAGATTCCAAAAATACCCCCAACTAAGCCATTATTGCATTTTGTATATTAATGTAGAAATCAATATGGAAACAGTTTTTAATTGAATTGTATATAATGACAGATGTTGAATTTGGAAAGATCTCCAAATGGTTGTAATGGATGTAGGAATTAATTTTGAAACATTTTAAAAAAAAATTTAACAATAAATTCAAATTTGGGTAATCGGTTTGTTTAATAAAAGTTTATGTTATTTTCTTTTTATGAATTATACATGACTAATAATCCACTTTATAATTGTTTATGAATAAAACTATACTATAATTATGTTGAAAAAATAATGTACCTATTACTTGTTTGTTTTATGAAAATATAATTTACCTAGTATGAAAAGTGTACATAATTATCTATTCCAATATACCTACATTATACGACATCCAATATACCTACATTAATTTAATGTACTTACAATTAGGATTTAGGTATTATATGTCATCCAATGTACCTACCATTTGAATAATATACCTACTACGAATAAAGTACCTATTATTTATCTAAATAATGTACCTATTTTTATCTAAATAATGTAATTTATTTTTTTCTATAAATAATATAGCCTTTTTTCTTTGAATAAAGTACCTATATTTGTTTTATTAAAAGTAATTTTTTAAATGAACCTATTTTTCTCTCCAAATAACTTACCTATTTTTTCCTCTAATAATGTACCTATTTTTCATAGGTACATTATTGGATATGTAATTTATTGGATACCTATATTTTATATGTATATATTTATATTATAATTTCATAAGTACATTATTGGATATGTAATTTACAGATTTTTTTTTTGTTTGCAATTTTAGGGGGCGAGATGTGAGAGGGAATGACAACTATAAGAAATGGGGTGATTGATAGCTATTAATAGGGAGTATATTAATTACAATTATGACAGTTAATGAAATGCTTGAAATAAATTATAAATAAAATAGAAGTTTAGTGGCAACGATGTAAAAACATAGAAATACTACGACCTCTTATATTCTACTGGTCATTTAAATTTGAAATTGGGTTTTACACATAGATTTATAGAGTGATGGGTATATGTCTAGGAAATAGAAATGTATGGATCTATATTGGACAAGCCCTATAAAAAAGGGGAGACAGCTAGTCGGACGCTTGTATCTACGACCCCTCTTTTCACATCACGCGTTTTCCAATTTGGTTAACTCGTTGCTATTACTGACTTTTTCTTAAAAAACTGTTCCCTATTCTCTAGTAATATTATGTGTGTCCTAAGCCCGCTTGTACTGTGAGCTTTTGCCAACACCTGTGTTCAATGGGTAACGCTCTTGTCCGGTTTTATCACCCCTCTCCCCATTGGTTTCGTTATGTTCACCCACACCCGCTTGTGCCGTTTAACCCACTCCCTTCACACTAACCGGTGGCTTAATCATACATTAAACACTAACCGGCCTTGAAAATAGCATAGACTAATCTCAACGTTCGCGGCAACCAACCACACCACAATCTACCAAACAATTTCTAAAGGACCCATTCATTTCACACCAAGAACATTATTTTAATGTGAAATTCACCACACCTCACCCTAACCATTTCTACACACATTCTGCCATATTTCTCCACCACGCCTCCCCAACACTTCAATGCCCCCATCGCCACCCCAATACAACCAATTTTCCACTATGAAAAATATGGGGGTGTTGATTCATTGTCCATAACGTGTAATGGGCACCATCCTTAATCTCAATCGGTCACAAAACTGCTCAACTCACTGCTTTACATTTACATCTCTTTCGGCTCCTTGTGTGCTTGAAACCTGCCTCCCATACAAGATTCAAGAATGGTTAAGCAACGGAAGCTGCTTACAGAATATGATTGACTCGGCTGTATTAATAAGTGCATATAACACCCATCTCAATAGATCCCATTAGATATTGACTGAAAACAACCATTTGGTAGAACCACAAAACAACTGGACCAACCCTAACTCTATTAGTCCTGCAGAACCCCCATCCAAAAGGAAATATTGCCAAGAAAACAGATATGACATAAATCTATTTACTTTACTAAGATTTGTACCATTAATATGAATACGTGTTTTTTTTTAGGTCAGAGAACGATTATATACGAACCTGTAAGTGATCCCACAAATTTATCGTGATTTCTAAATTCCAAGTTCAACTGTAGTTCTAGCATGATAATTTATATGTGAACCACACTATATATATCATAAATATACCAATCACAAAATCTCCCTATAACCCAACATTTTTGACTCTTTGATGTCACGCACGCGATCTGTATTTTACCATTTTTTCCACCCCCCAAACAGTCAAACACCCCTATGCCAATATCCTAACACTGTCCCTGCTTTCTTCATTGTTTGCTTTGGACGAAACACTCTACTTAATCAATAGATAATTCAGTAGGCACTCCCATATATCCTTCTGTCACTCCTTCTTTATACTCGTCATCCTCTCTCCTCAAACAATTCTGACGATCCTGGTATCGTAGCAAACATAATTATGCACATTTAACTTACATATGGACATGTTTCACATTTCAAACTGCTTTTCTTACCAGCTCCCCCACGTCGCCTATTACGCCATTAAATACATCTGGCATTCAATCATAAGCTCTCCTTTATTCAAATCAACATCATTTTGCTCAAAACCCCAGATTTCACGATCGAGCCCCTCACAAACTCACTTGAAAGGACGATTAAAACAGTATTTCTAGTATTTTTTTTATCCGTCCCACACGCCTACAAAGCGCACATTGCCACCCTCTTACTAAACCCCACATCCTCACTCTAGTTCCTTTTGTTCTACCTATTTCAACCCCCAGGCCGTTATTATACCCAAACAGCCCCTTTGTGTCTTTTTACCTACCTATTTAGCGGGCTAAGGATTTCTCAGCACTATCCTTTTCACTACCTGTTGACACAATTATCTACTGCTCCCTGTTGTTATTATGATAACAGTTTCCTGCCTATCCCCTATTGCAAGTGAGAGTTCGCACCATAGTAAGCTTGACATTTCCTATCCACTTACTTTAAATAACATGGTTATAACTTGAGTATCTCCCACCCATTACTACTTCGCACGCAGAACAGAACTGTCTATTCATGTCACCCTGATTTTTTAATATCTTACGCAAACCACATTAACCAGAGTGTCAAATTGTACTCGTTACGTGGTATTTTGCATTCCTCTACCTCTCCACTTTGCATCTACACAATCATAAATTCTCCTTGTTGCTAAACCAGAATCCCTTAAGCATAACTTCTGAGGCCAGAGGTTTCCCCATGGCCTATTTATTCCATTATTACTCCCCATTGCAACAAGGACACTCGTAACCTACATCCCCCAACCAACTAGAACTTCCCACCCACCAAAGCTTCTGCTCTTCCTCGCTAATTAGGTTCCTTATACACACAACCCTTTTCTACCTGTTCCCTTAAACTTAGTCTCCCACCCATTCAAATCCTTCTACGCCACATACAACTCCCCTGCTTGTACAATCCAAAACCACACAAACAAACATACCATCCTTAATTATTATTGACATTTTAACATCTGCCCTATGCAATCTACGTCCCTTGTGTTCTCACCCCTAAATAATGTACACAAACAGAATTCCAACGTTTAGAACGTCAGCATTCGGCATAATCCCCACATATCTTTCCCTCAAATTTTCTGTCTTTTGGTCACACTGTGTCTCCCCAACCTCTATTGCCACTCATCCTTAATACAGGCCACAATTCCTCGCACCTTCATAGACCCACCTACATGACTCCTCAAATTTGTGCTCACCCCCTACAAAAACCACAAATCTTACCCCATTACCCTAACATTGGAATACCCCTACCCCAGTCTTCCATACAAAATTTTACAGTTTTTTCATAATGTATCATTCGTGACCTACCTTTGAACGTACTTAACACCGTTTAGTTATAAACGCAACTTTTCACGCAATCACACTACTCATTTAACCTCACCGGCGCTAACCCCACCATACTAGCGCATTATCCTGCCCTTCACTCACTCCAATAACAAGCCAGCTATCATCACGACACCCCTTCTGTAACCAAACAGAACTCCCCCCCACGCATGCCTCTCAAATACCAATTTTCAGGGATTTTACCAACTATCATTTTTATCTCACCAAGCAGAAATCAACCTCCTTATTCACAATAGGCAATCTTACGACCCTGTCGCTTTCTATATTTTTTTTAACTAACGTGATAAACACCCTGCATACTCATCTAATAATAACACCAATCAAATCCTCCATTTCAGCTCACTCCACTCGGCGGTAGCTTCCGCTATGCGCTTTAGACAATTTTTAAAATTGCCACTTACGCAACATAACATTTCGACGGAGTGGGACCTTGAATGTGAAGATACCACTCATTGAAGCAAACATTCATGGATTTTTGCTAACCCCCCCCCGGCGACAGCGCTTGAACGTACCTTTACAGCCCTATTGTTGCCCTGACCCGCGTTCCAACTTCTCATGTTTTCGTGTCTTCCTGCTGCCACCGTGTCTTTTTTTCTGAACACTAATCTCCCTACCTGGCAATTTTGTATAAAAACAAGAACTCAACCACAAACCTAGCACACCCCCAGATACACAATACATGGTGGTCTGAACGACGTTAACTCCTACCTCACTTTCTCAATCTGGCCTCTTTTTGTATATAAGCTCTTAGCACAGCTTGCCCACTTTCCTGTTCACCACCCCCGCAACCCCATACCTATTTCACCAGCATTTTTGCCTTTATGTATGCTGCACGACAAATAGATTCAGTGTTAAGTAGGGGTACACCTGGTTTGGACCGCGAAGAGTGGCGTTACACTGCCGAACGCCCCAGTTGTATGAGTACAGTTACCTATTTGTTACTAGCTCCCTCCCTTAGCCAGAGATAACCAATTCTGCCTTCGGAGTGCAGTACCATTTATTTCGCCCCCCTGGTACGACTTTGAGTAATCGTTTCTCGTTGTCAACACAGCGTTTCCTTGCCCTTTCATCTTTATTGAGGTGGTCTCAGACCCTGGGCCACCCCCCGCATTTGTCACGCCTTTTGACCCCCTTTTGCCGAAATTTAATCATTTTCCCACTTGCCCGCCAACCCGCCCCACGTTTAGGTCACGCCCGTCGGGCGGGACTAGTTGCGTGTAGGGTCCTCTGGGGCATTCGGTGTCTACTACCCCAACCGTACCCGATTTTCCATTACTCCTTCCCACCACGGGGGATTATGACCAGCAATGCTGGTTGGTTCCCACTGGATCTATGAGACATTGTCAGGTGTCATGATGAAATAGAACGCCATGCATATTTTCTAAACCCAAATGAAAATGAACCAACCCACTTTATATGCACTACTTTGGAACTACACCCCATTCTATACCTAGAATTGCCTCTCTAGCCCTCCTGCATTTTTCACCTACCTAGGCATCCACAATCTCGGCTACAAAGCAGCCGTATTCAAGTGCGATTTGATTACCACCACATTCCGGACAACCTGCCGCGCCTCCTCTCTCGTCCTCCCCATTTTTAAATCCTAATGAGAGAAAAAAAAAAAAAAAAAAAAAAAAAAAAAAAAAAAAAAAAAAAAAAAAAAAAAAAAAAAAAAAAAAAAAAAAAAAAAAAAAAAAAAAAAAAAAAAAAAAAAAAAAAAAAAAAAAAAAAAAAAAAAAAAAAAAAAAAAAAAAAAAAAAAAAAAAAAAAAAAAAAAAAAAAAAAAAAAAAAAAAAAAAAAAAAAAAAAAAAAAAAAAAAAAAAAAAAAAAAAAAAAAAAAAAAAAAAAAAAAAAAAAAAAAAAAAAAAAAAAAAAAAAAAAAAAAAAAAAAAAAAAAAAAAAAAAAAAAAAAAAAAAAAAAAAAAAAAAAAAAAAAAAAAAAAAAAAAAAAAAAAAAAAAAAAAAAAAAAAAAAAAAAAAAAAAAAAAAAAAAAAAAAAAAACAAATGTCACAGAACATAATTCTTACATAAGTGATCATCACATCATATGTGGGCCGGACACAGATCCATGGACACGGAAAGTTCAGTACGTGACCCGAAAATCTCAAAAATTTAGAACAAAATTGCATGGCACTTAAAAGAATATAAATAATACTTATATATATTTTCAAAATTATATCGTCATTTATTAATTTTAATATGCTCGATATTTTTAAACCGAAAAAGAAGAAAAGAGATTCTTGTGTCTTGCCTTGGAAGAGAGAGAATGGCCCGGGCAAAAGCAGAGTGCAACGCCAATACCTGAGATGGGGAGAGAAAGAGGGATTGTTGTCCAGTTGTGTTAATAGTTGATCCACAGTAAAAATTAAAAGGACTATTTTCAATAAATACAAAATGTGCCTTAGAAAATAAATCAAATACCAGCATGCACAGTCAGAAGAATACTAAGATAACTAGAAGATATAAAATCCTAATACAGTTTAGTTTAAATTGAGAAGAGTTATGTAAATCTACTACTACATTTACTATATTGCACGCCTATGATAAATTCGTCACGCCAAGAAACACTTAGCGAACGAAAAAATTCTTCGTTGTGCAAACTATCCAACTTTGTGCCCAAAAATTTCATCGAGCCAAGAAAACTGGCGCGTGACCAAAAACGTGGTCGTCCCACGAAGTGAGGAAGAAAAACGTGGGTTTTATTTTTTTTGGCGCCAAAACACTTGCACACATCAAATATCGTCGTAAAGAAAACCTAGCTCGACGGTAAGCTTTAACGAGCCAACCTTAGACAGAAAAATGCTGGTATTTTATTTGGCGCCAAACACTTGCGTGACGACAATTGTCATTGCAAAAGATTACTTAGCGCGACGAACAAACGTTATCGTCGTGGTAAGAAAAAAATGTGGTATTTTTTTAGTTTGGCACCAATTATTGGCACGACGGAAATTTATGGCGTTGCCTAAAGTTTGATGTTGGCACGTCCATGCACGTCGAAAATTGTCTTTTGCGAGACGAAATTTTGAGCAACGAAAACTATTTTGCATCGCGCAAAAGTGGGATGTCAACACGTACTTCCGCGACGAAAATGTATTTTGAGGCGACGAAAATGAGGTTTTGCTTGATGAAAATTTCTTTTTTGCGCGACGAAAAGGAATTTGTCGCGCAAAACCTTCTTCTTATTATATGGATTTTGCCATTGCAGAGGCAGACTTCAAAAAGAAAAAAGCTCTGCCTTTGCCTTTTCCTCTGCTTCGCTGCTTTTGCTGGAATTTCAGTACGTCCACTGGTAAGTATTTTTTGTCGTTAGTTTAAAAGTATTAATGTAAATTCATACTAACGCTATTAATTTCGTTCTCATTAGGGATATTTATTAAAGGTAGATAGGTATTTTATTCGTTTATATTTTAAAAAATATAATTACATTATGTTAAACTTAGTTTGTTATGTTTGTATTTTTTATGTGAAATTATATTTATATTATGTTGTTAAATTGTGTGTGACGTAGCACAATGTGTTGTGATGTACGAAGTTAATTGAAATTAACTTCGTACTTTCATTCTTATTTTTAATAACTCTTAGTTTCTCGTTCGAGATTAGTTGGATTTCGTGCATGGATGCGTAAAACATGACTGCAATCCAATTAATTCTTGAATTGTCCCATTATTTGGATAGTTTGGGAATGCATAGTCATGTCACGTAATCTACGGCTACATGATTAGGTTTCAATTGTGAAGATTTCGGTATCATCTCTGTACGTTCTTCGGGTGGTACTTAGGTATTTATAGCTTTGCCCACCTCAAGAACTGTATTGAGATGCTGCCGAAATTCATCCCAATCAAAATCTAATCTCATGTAACCGTAGATTACGTGACATGACTATGCATTCCCGAATGAGATAGGCCCCTTACTGGAGGCATAAGGTGACATTATAATTTCGTATGAAGTTGTTGTGATTGTGGTTCCAGGATTATGAGCAGGAGGTGGATACAGAACCTGAATAGATGCGCATACGAATACTTGGATGGAATCGAGGATTGAGTTTGCACGTAGACACAACCCGGTGCAACTAGAATCCGTTGTCCTTGTAGGAAGTGTAACAACACGTTGTGGGAGACAACTGAAAATGTTGGATTTCATTTAGTAAGAAATGGAATGATTGAGAAATATATCATTTTGAACCTTCATGGGAACAATTAGACAATGCTTCGTCTTCAAATGCCACAAGGGTGAACAATGTTGAACCTATTGTGGATCCTAATGAACAAGTCATGGATATTATAATGATGCTTTTCCATTTGCATCGACCAACAACAATCAGGAAGGGGAAGTTGAAGCGCCTACCCCAATGGACAGTGTAGAGTTCGAATAATATGCACAACTGTTAAAAAATCCAAACCAAGAGTTATTCCCGGGATGCGAGAGCTTTTCTGTTCTCACGACCATTGTGGAGTTAATGTGCGGAAAAATAAAGTATCGTATGTCGAACCTGTGTTTCGATTACTTTTTGGGGGTTTTCAAGAGAATGCTTCCGACGGACAATTGTTTGCCGAAAAACCATAGACACGCGCAAAAGGTTGTGAATGGTCTTGGATTGGGTTATGAAAAAATTCATGCTTGCAAAAACAATTGGATGTTATTCTACAAAGAGTATGAAACATTGGATACATGCCCTACATGCAAAGAGTCGAGGTTCAAGATGACATCTCAGAATAGAACAACTAAGATCGCACAAAAAGTCATGCATTATCTGGCCCTGAAACCTAGGCTTCAGTGATTGTATATGTCGACACACACTACCATACATGAGATGACATAAGGAAAAACGGGTAGACGACGATGTGATGCGGCATCCTGCAGACGGGGAGGCATGGAAAGAGTTCAATCGAACGTTCCCGATTTTGTTGCTGATCCCCGAAATGTTAGATTGTGACTTGTCACTGATAGATTCAATCCGTACGAGGTTCTAAACCAACAACATAGCACTTGGCCGATTTTTAGTATTCCCATATAATTTGCCGCCTTGGAAATGCATGAAAAAAGAGTACATGATGATGACTGTTTTGATAACTGAGGATCTTGACAGGTCAATCGATGTTTACTTAAGTCCGTTAGTTGATGAGCTTAAGGATTTATGGACAAATGGTGTGCCACGTACGATAAATCCACTGGGATGATGTTCACTTTGCGGGCAGCAGTTATGTGGACTATGAATGATTTTCCCGCATATGCAATAGTTTTTGGGTGGAGCACGAAGGGTTATATGGCATGCCTTGTATGCAAGAAGATGTAACTTATGGTTGGCACGCTGGAAAAGTTTGTTACCTTGGTCATCAGAGATGGTTGTCATGGGACCACGAGTGGCGAGAAAAGGATAAAGGGTTTGACGGGAAACACAGAGCATCGCCTCAGACCTAGAGAATGGTCTAGTGATGAGATCTTGGAATAGCTTAACTGTTTGGATTTTGCTCCATTCGGGGAAAACAGTTAGTCAGACCAGACCTTCTACACATTTGAACTGGACGCACAAGCCTATGTTTTTTGAGCTCCCATATTGGTCGAAACTAAAATTGAGGCACAATCCGACGTTATGCATGTTGAGCAAATGTCTTTGACACATTGATGGGCACGATTCTAGATATCGAGGGCAAGACAAGGACACGATCAAAGCTCGTCTTGATTTGGAAAGAATGGCATACGAAGAGGTTTATGGATGAATAGGACAGTGATAAAGCTAGAAGGGATCATGTATTTTTTTCCATGAAACTGAATGACAATAAAGATTTCTAAAGTTTGTATCGTCTGTAAAGTTTCCGATGGGTATGCTTATAATATCGCGCGTTGCGTGAATGTTGACGGGCGTAAATTTACTGGACTAAAGAGCCATGACTGCCATGTGTTTATGCAACGCCTACTTCTTTGGGTATTCGACACCTTTTGCCGGAAGATGTAGTGAAACCAATCATGTTGTTGTCCAGATTTTTTTCCCAACTAAAGGCAAAAACATTGAGAAAGATAGACATTAATCAGTTGCGCCATGACATTGTCCAAGTCCTATGCAAGTTTGAGATGATATTCCCTCCATCTTTCTTCACAAGTATGATCCACGTGATGGTTCGCTTGCGAGAAAAGACATTGCTTGCTGGTCGTGTCATCTATCGCTAGATGTATCCAATAGAAATGTATATAATCCTCATTATTTGTTTATGCATCATTTCCTTTTATTTTGGCAGGCTTCTCGAAGAGCTGAAAAAACCTGTACGCAATAGGGCGATGCCCAAGGATCAATTATAGAGGCTTGGGTTCAATATGAGTCACTTACTTTCTGTGGAATGTATTTAAAAGATGTGGACACGGCTTTCAATCGTCCTCGGCCCAATAATGACGGAGGTGTGAGAAATGAGAAACTTTCTATTTTTGCCCAAAGCGCACGACCTTTTGGAATATCCTGGTCGAGGAGAGTCGTTTTCCAAAAATGACATAGAGGTAGCACATTGATTCGTACTGAACAATTGTGATGAGATAATGGCATACTTAGATGAGCATGAAGAAATGATGAAGCAAGAAACATCCATCACATTTGTATGCCAAGAAACACCGTGAATTGTTTCCACAATGGTTTTTGGAATATGTAAGTTATAAGTGTTTTGTATTTCACATATATATTGTATTATTTAATGTTCTCAAACTAACATGTGAATGTTTTTGTATAATATTAGGTGAATAAGTTGAAATCATCAAATTGCCCACTTACAGTGACATATTGGGTGGAGTGTAAAACTATGTAAATGTCAAATTGCCACATCAGCCATCAAATTTAAATTTGATGTTTGGTATTTGATATCTCCCTTGGAGATGCTCTTCTACTATATTAATTTGAGGGATATTGTCTACTTGTAATTAATCACATCAGGCTTTCAACCCTAGATGAGGAATAGAAAATCTAAGTCATTAAGCACAAAAGTAGCTGACACGTGACCTTTATCTATCACTACTCTACAACTCCATGTACATAAAATTGAAGATAACAAAGATAAAAACGAAAACAAAGCAAACGGAAAGGGTATAAAACATGTAGCAATAACTAGTTAATAAACCAAACTATTAATGCCTTCCTCTAAAGGTTAAGGGAAATAGTCTATCAGTGCATGACAACCGTACTGATATACTGATATATATATATATATATATATATATATCAAACGTATGAGTGATTATCAAATGTTGATGCATTCATTCGTCTGCCTCTCTTTCATAGAACAGGCAAAATAGGGACGAAAGAGTTTTGATTTTAAAGCTACAGTTTGGTTTTTAGTGTGAGAGTAGAGGGAGTGAGAAATAAACAAGAGATTGATGGGAGTTGAATGTGGTCCATCGACACGTGCAAATGATGGCATTGTCTTGGCTAATGATGGATTCCCACCGCTTCTTCCACTGCGTGGGTTCCCACTCCTATCATGCCACCCAACTTCATCACCCCAATTTGTTTGCATCTCCTCTTTTTCTTTGATAACCCTTCAAATCAAATTATTTATATCAATCTTATGCTTTTTTTTTATTGGTCGAAACACACTTTCAATAACGAAAGGGAAGGAGAGGGCCACAGCCCGAATACAACCAAGAAACAGCACCATGTAAAACAAAAACCCAGGCTAACAACTGTAAACCCCAGTGTACAAAAAGGAGCCACACAGGCCGACTACACCAGTTGAAACAGAAACCAAAAATGAGACGCCAACCAGCTAGGAAAAGCAACCTAGGACGCCGCCCCAGAAGACGAGCGTCAGCTCCTAACTGGGCAAAAAGACCTTAGCTTTGTGGAGGACAGGGAAGGCCATCACTTTGTAAAACGAACACCAGGGAGGATGGGGGTCTGTTGAGCCAGACCTCATCGCACATCCTCCTCTTTGCTGCAAGAGCTGCAGCATCCGCTGCTTTGTTTGCTCTCCTCGTTGCTACAAGAGCTACAGCATCCTCTTTGCTACAAGTGCTACTTAATTAATTAACAAACTCATCATCCTCTTCCTATTCCCATAGCCATCTGATCTGATCAGTATATGTTTTCATGAATTGGGATGTCCGCAGATCATAATAATAATAAGGGGTCTTTCGATATAGGTCCAATTTTGAGTTTGCACTATGAATGCAATCCACCTCTCTTTTGACGTAGAATTGGGTCCAGCAACTCAACAAGACATCCAAGTATACAAAGCTTTGGTCACCGTTTTTAAAACATTTACATATATTGCTATTGTACAGCCAATCCTCTAAATTTTATTAATTACTACAATCAATAAATTATTATCACATTCTACAATTAATCTTAATTCATCAAAAGTTTTCAACCAGTGAATACCTTGTGGTGAGGTATATATGTCTTTGGGTGGTTTGATTTACTTGCTTTGTAGGTTTGTGTATACCTCCTTCATAGGTAATTTCATATCATATATCTCCTCCATAGGTAATTAACATTCATATGTATACCTCTTCCATAGATAAATAGCATTCATATGTATACCTCCTCCATAGAATTGTAAGAAGAAAAACAAGGAAGAAGAAAGAAGAAGATGAACAAGATGAAGAAGAAAGATTATAGGAAATTTATTTATTTATTTTTTGTATCAGCACATGTTTATGGAATTTTCAAAATTAAAATGGATAGACAAGAAAATATTTTATAAATTCAAATCATAATTAACCAAAAGGTCAAATATAGTAATTATTGGCCTAAAATTAATTTCTTACCCGTTTATGAATTGCAATCAGAATCAATAGTTGTATTAATTAGCTAATTAATATGATATGAATCAATCTTTCCCGATTTAAATCATAAGGGCATGATTGGAACATGAAAATAAATTTAAAAAGAAAAAATATATATCATTACATCATAAAATTAGAAAAGTAATGTAATCCTACATGGCATTGAAGTCAGAGGACTTGGATTACTAACAATACGTGTGTGGATTGCACCCAAATTCTATCATAAGAATTGGACTTATACCAATTATTTATAATAATAATAATAGTAATAATGCTCGATTGGATGTGACATTTTTGGCCAATATCAATGAGCATCATGCATCCTGCTGGCCCTTCATTTGGTAATTCAAAGAAAAGCTTTCGAGATAGTCGTTAAA